TTGTCTATCTAATTTCTTTCTATTTTTAGTAGAGACGGGGTCTTGCTCTTGCTCAGGCTGGTCTCGAACTCCTGACCTTGAGTGATCCACCCGCCTCGGCCTCCCAGAGTGCTAGGATTACAGGCGTGAGCCACTGCGCCCAGCCCAGACAAATCTTGTAAAAATATAAATCCAATCATGTTACTTGCCTGCTTAGAAACTGCCAATGGCTTCTTTCCCACTGTACTTTGCAACATATCCATATCCATGTCAGGGTTTATGTGGCCCCTGCCATCCCTGCTGACATCTCCAATTGCTCTCTGGCCCACTAAACCCTAGCTATACTGGCCTTTTCTCTGTTTTTCTTTCCTTTTCTTTCTTTCTTTCTTTTATTTTTTTTAGAGACAGGGTCTCACTCTATTTCCTGGGCTGGAGTGCAGTGGTCTCATCATAGCTCTCTGTAACCTTGAACTCCTGGACTCAAGCAATCCTCCTGCCTCAATCTTCCAAGTAGCTGGGACTATAGGTGCACACCACCACACCTGGCTAATTTTTAAAATTTTTTTGTAGAGATGGGGGCTCGCTGTGTTGCCCAGGCTAGTCTCTAACTCCTGGCCTCAAGTGATCCTCCTGCCTTGGCTTCCCAAAGTATGGTGCATATAGGCGTGAGCCTCTGCACCTGGCCTCTTCTCCATTTCTCTTTCTTTCTTTCTTTTCTTTCTTCCTTCCTTCCTTCCTTCCTTTTTTTTTCCAGTCATCTTTTATTTAAGGTTAATTCTCACTAGGACATGAAAGGATTCAGCAATGACTGAGTTCTTCACGGAGGGTGCTGAGCCAAGGAGGTCAAGGTCAGGAGTGCAGAGTGAACCCTCTACATGGGCTCCTCTTCAGTGGTACTTGCATGGCTGCCTTTCTGTTTGAGCTCCTTGTAAGAAAGGCAGTAGTAGAAAAGCACATAAGCTACCAGCACCATAGAAACCTCAGCAACGCTCCCCTTGTTCACGCTGATGTACTTGTTGTAATATCGGTAGCAACCCCTTTGAAAGGCTCCAGCAATGCCTTTAGGGGTAAAAACCCACATCGAAATCCAGCTTGGCAGCTCCCCTAGTTTGACATCCATGAGTTTCTTCTCCTTCACTGGTACGACTGACGCCATCATGGAGCCCTGGTGTCCGCTGTGCCCTCTTCTCCATTTCTTGAACATGCCATGCTTGAGTCCACCTCAAAGTCTCCTCCTCTTCCTCTGCCCAGAATATTCTTGGCTAAATCACATGGCTAAGTCCTTCTTAACCGTCAGGTCTTTAACTTCTTCAGAGAGCTTTTTCCCTGACCTTTACCTGAGCAAGTCCCCTACCTTCTCCCCAGTGTGGAGTATGTGTGTGAGAAGGGAGGCTGAGTTTCCATGACTCAGGGGACCAGCATCTCCCTAGAAGAAATGCAGTTTCTTCTTCTAATACTAACATTTATTATTAGTGTGCTAAGTTCCATGTACTGTTTCTTGTTTGTCTTGTTTTAATGTGCCCAAAGTCATACAGCTTCTAAGCAGTAGAGCAGGGATTCAAGGTCAGGCAGTCTGGATCCCGAGCCTGCATTCTTTTTAACAATTTGAAGTGAAATTCACATAAAAAAATTAACCATTTTAAAGTGAACAATTCAGTGTTAGTACATTCACAGTGTTGTACAACCACCACCTCTGTCTAGTTCCAAAACATTTTCATCACTCCAAAGTAAAACCCCTTACCCATTAAACAATTTTCCCGCATTCTCCTCCGTGGACTGTTCTTGATCTTCACAATGGCCCAATTGTACAATTGAGGAAAATGAGGCTCTGAGAAGCTCGGTGATAGTTTCAAGGTAGATGTGGAACCTTTGTCTTCTGATTCCAGCCTAAACATTTAATGCACATCTTTGGGGGAACCCACATGGCTAGACTGGGCTTTCGAAGAGAGTTAATTTTGTTGGGGCACGAAAATAGAAGCTATAGGTGCGTCTTCAATTGTAAAAAGCGTGCATTGAGGTAAAACTGCAATTAGCTCTGTACAGGCGGTCGGCAGAGCCAAAAGTAATCTAAGCCCAAGAGCGGCTACAGGGCAGGACTTGGAAAGGTCAGCACTGCAGGAAGCTTTGCCAAAGCCTCTAGAACAAGAAGTCTGTCATGCCTTGGGCAGCCCCTGTAAACGCCAAGCTGAGAGCCAAAAAGAGGCAGAGGAGCCCGAAGGGCGTGGCTTCCTTCCAGGGACTAGGCCCTAACAGGAAACCCCAGGTGGTTGCTCGCGAGACAAGCTGGAGGAGCAACGGGAGAAAACAGTAGAAAGCAGGCCTAGGCCAAATGCATCCCACTCTAAAGGGGTCTCCAGGCCACGGGGACTCCTGAGTATCCGTCTTATGCGTCCTGGAGGGACCGTCATCTAATATCCCTCTTCCGCAACATAGGTGTGCTCTCTCTGGGGCTCTCCTTTTCTCTCAGGAGGTCAATGATCCTGGAATCCCTTCCTTTTTAGGGGGTCGGAGGGCACCCTTCTAAGTTGCCCCTCGTAGTATCCACTTCTTCCTTGGATGAGAGGGCTGGGCGGACCCCTCCTGCTCCGATGATGGAGCGCTTCTTTTACAAGCTCCCCGCAGTCTCTGGGCTCGGGGGTGGTGACCGAGTTCTAATTCAACAATGCTACACCCTCGGTCCAATAGCGCCCCTAGTTCTCCCAGAGGGCAGCTCCATGGAAACCAAAACATCACAATTGCATGGAAGTATCGCGAGAAGCGCTGTTGCGCCCGCGGCCGGGGAGAGGCGGAGCGAGGGCGGGAACGCGGAGAGTAGTGGGAGGAGTCTGGGGGCTTCCGAGGTTCGGATCCGAAGACCGTCCCTCCAGGCGGCGCCCCCGCGTGACTGCGCTTTACATAATCGCGGCCTCGCGCGTCATAGTGGCGTACTCCAGTCGAGACCGAATCAGAATCGCCAACAGCTCCGTGTTCCGCCCCTTCCTGCTTGATCGACGTCGAAGTGAACCAGTGAACAGGCGTCCAGCACCGCCGCGCCCGCCCCAGCCCGCCCTGGTCCACCCCGGCCAGCCCGCGCCCTCCCTCCCGCCTGCCGCAGCCCGCAGCCTGCCGCCGCCAGGTTGTGCCTCAGACTGTCAGATAAAGCTGTGGGCCGGCCGGCGGGGCGGTGAGCACGGCCCGGGCCGGACATGGCGGCGCTCTACGCCTGCACCAAATGCCACCAGCGCTTCCCCTTCGAGGCGCTGTCTCAGGGGCAGCAGCTGTGCAAGGTGCGCGGGCTGGGGCGGCGGCCGGGAACTGGGAACGCAGGAGGCGCGGCCCGGAGCTCCCGGTTCTGTGGGGACGCCGGCGGGGTCCACAGGGCAGGGCGTGGCAGGCCCGCCTTGCTGAGGAGCCGCACCCACCCCGCTGGGGGCCGGCAGGGCACGTGGGGGTGTCCCGGCCGCTTCCAGGCTCCCGCGGCCGGCGTGTCCGGGTGCTTAGCAACCGCGGGGGATTGTTCTCGGACCCGTCAGGTCGGGGGAGGGGAAAGCGGGTCTCCTGCTTGCCCTGACCATCCGCCCCGGGGATCCCTTTGGTTTGCTTTCACCGCCGCCGCAGTCTCCCTGGTTACAGACTGTGGGACCTCCTGCCCCTCCTGGGACCGAACTCCGGAGTTGGGTGCTGCCTGGGAGGAGTGTCTCGAACTCCGGCGCCTCACGGGCACTTTTGAGCCAGTCTCAGTATCAGAGGTGTCAAGGTTTTATTTTTTTAAAAGCCCCACAATCAAGCGCATGAATCTTTTCAGCATCCAGTTAATGGCCTTCGATCCTCACCCTAACCAGCTGCTGATCAGTTTTTTTACCCCTGAAGGTCCAACTTCTGTTTTTCTTTTTAGTTGCTTCATTCCACTTTGCCTATTTAAGTGAATAGAGGTGCTGTGAAGCAACATTTAAAAAGTCACTAAACCGGCTGAAGAGTGATGTTGAGATAGACCCATGATCTAGATCTAGAGTTTGTGTCTCTGATTTGGATAACTCATAATTGTATGTCCCTGTTGCCTCAGATGTCCATGACTTAACTTTTGCCACTTTTTGTTTACCAGGTCTGAGAGAACGCAAGTGCTGAGTGCCCTTTTTGGTCTCAAAAAAAACCAAAACGAAGCATATATAGGTAGTGTGTATATATGGTTTTAAAGAAGTTTTATATACATAAAAAATAATGATTTTAATCCAACACTTTGATTTCATGAGTAAGCCAGCTCAAAATCACACAGTGGCAGAAGAACCAGGCCTAGAATTCAGGGCTTCTGATTCCCAGTCTCGGGCTTATTCATGCATGTTTATTTTATAATTTATGACTAGTTCCATATAAATTCTTATTTAACTCCCACATCAACAGCAGGGCAATGATGCCAACATTATAGAGGAGAAAAATAAGACCCAGAAAGTTTAAGTGACTCACTCAAGCATAGTAGCTATGCTAGGAATAGTACCCAGGTCTTCTGCTTCCTACTGAAGGCTGTTTCCATTTGTGACTGCCTTTTAAAATTATATCCTCATTTCATTTCAGGAATGTCGGATTGCACACCCTGTTGTGAAGTGCACCTACTGCAGGACTGAGTACCAACAGGAGAGGTAGAGTGTTCTTGACCATGAAAGATGTTGATAGGCTTTTTCCTCTTAAAATCTGTAATTGATTGCATTTCATGTATAGATCTGTAATCAATTACATTATACACAGATTCTGTATTACACCCAGAGTCTACAGTTTCTAAATACTTAGGTCTGTAGTCCATCTTCAATTAATTTGTTTGTGGAGTGAGATACACACTGCAGGGTATATAGTAAACATACTGTTCCATTTGATTACTTAAAGTTTGAAAGTTATTTTTCAGATCCTTGATCATTTTATATTGTGGTTATAATCTTTTTGGCACAAGAAACCAATCCTATGATATGAAATTAAGGTGTCAGCTGGGGAAAGAAAAAAAAAGAAACCCATCCCACAATAGTAAAACATGAGCCTCATGTTCCAATATGTATATATACATAGCTTGAAGAATTTTTAAATCCAAGTAGATACTTTTGGAACCGTAACAATCCTGGTAAAGGGTTTGTTAGCCCTAATCCCATTTGAAACTAACTTGCCTTTACACTTTCCTTGTGTGAATCTCATTTTTAAAAGTGTGAAAAACACTTAGGTGTGAGTGGCCAAACATCTTTGGGGGACTTTTCCGTAGCAGCAAAGTGATTTGTTGGTATAGCAAGTTAGACTTTTGTGGAACTTCTATAATTTTAGGTGATCCTGCCTTTAACAGGGTGGGGTCTATTTGCTAGTTTATTTTTTTAATTTTTTTCGCAAAATCCTCATGTCTAATATTTGCTATTTTATACATAGACCCAGAAGCCTAATTTTAATAAGCCTCATTTAAAGTCTACAGATATTTTTCCCAACATTTTATTGTAGATATTTTCAAATGGAAAAAAAAGATTGAATTAGTGAACATCTGTGTACCCACGACTTAAATTCTATAATGTACATTTTACTCTATTTCCATCTATTCATCTGTTCATCTCTATCCATCAATGCCTCAGTCCATTTTATTTCGGAGGCATTTTAAAGTTGCAGATGCAGACATCGGTATACTTGATACCTAAACACTTCAGCATGCAAATCATTAACTAGAGTTAAGTTTTTTTTGAGACAGAGTCTCACTCTGTCCTCCTGGCTAGAGTGTAGTGGTGTCATCATAGCTCACTGGAATCTCAAACTCCTGGGCTCCTCCTGCCTTAGCCTCTTGAGTAGGTGGGACTACAGGCGTATGCCACCACGCCAGGCTAATTTTTTTCTATTTTTGGTAGAGATGGATCTTGCTCAGGATGATCTTGAACTCCTGAGCTCAAGTGATCCTCCCGCCTTGGCCTTCCGGAGTACTAGGATTACAGGCCTGAGACACCGCGCTAGCCTTACAGTTCTTTTTTTTTTTCTTGAGGCAAAATTTGCATATAGTAAAATGTTAAAATCTTAAATACATCATTCAATGAATTTTACAAACAGTATATATCTGTGTGATTCCAAACCCTATCAAAATATAAGATGTTACTATCACTCCAAGAGAATCCTCTCATGCTCCATCCCAGTCAATCCCCGTATCCTTATTTCCCCCAGGCAACCACTGTTCTAATTTTCATTTCTACCATAGATTAGTTTTGCCTGTTCTAGAACTTTATATAAATGAACTCATAGAGAATATACCCTAGAAGCTTTATGTTTTAGTTTGTACATTTAGGCCTATGATCCATCTCGAGTTAATTGTGTATGTGGTGAGATACGAACTTTGACCCTTAATTTACACCACACACAAATTATTTCAAGATGGATCATAGAGGTAATTTTTTTTTGCATGTTTTCTAAAATGTCAGGAGCATTTGTATAGATTGACGTATACCCCATTCCTTAAGTAATAAATCTAGGTGTAAATCAAAATGCTGTTCAGTGTCACAGGATCTTTTTTTTTTTTTTTTGAGACAGAGTCTCACTGTGTTGCCCCGGCTAGAGTGCCGTGGCGTCATCCTAGCTCACAGCAACCTCAAACTCCTGGGCTCAAGCGATCCTACTGCCTCAGCCTCCCGAGTAGCTGGGACTACAGGCATGCGCCACCATGCCCGGCTAATTTTTTCTATATATATTTTTTTAGTTGTCCAGATCATTTCTTTCTATTTTTAGTAGAGACGGGGTCTCGCTCTTGCTCAAGCTGGTTTCGAACTCCTGAGCTCAAACAATCCGCCCGCCTCGGCCTCCCAGAGAGCTAGGGTTACAGGCGTGAGCCACCGGGCCGGCCTCACAGGATCTTTGATGCTAATCTTTCTAGAGATCTCTTTCAATGCCCCTCACTTCTTTTACTCCCTTTTTATTTATTTTTATTTTTTCTTTTGGCAGGTGAGTTGTTACACACCCTTTAGCAGATTCTGACTTCCATAGCCATCATCTTGCTTATTGCCTTTTTAAAGTGGCAGCAGATTACCCTGGAAAATATTTTGTCTAAGTATCTTATTTTAATTTTTAATTTTTTAAAAAAATTTTAACAAATGTTACCTGTTATTTATTTATTTTTGAGACAGAGTCTCACTCCATTGTCCAGGGTAGAGTACAGTGGTGTTATAGCTCACTGCAACCTCAGACTCCCGGGACCAAGCAATCCTCCCACCTCAGCCTCCCAAGTAGCTGGGACTACAGGCACATGCCACCACACCCAGTTAATTTTTTTATTTTTTGTAGAGACAGAGTTTCGCTATGTTGCTTAGGCTGATCTCTAACTTCGGGCCTCAAGCAATCCTCCTGTCTCAGCCTGCTGAAGTGCTAAGATTACAGGTGTGAGCCATAGTGCCCAACCTTAGTATCTTATTTTAATTTAAAAAAATAATTTTTTTTTTTTGAGACAGAGGCTTGTTCTGTCACCTGGCTAGAGTGCAGTGGCATCACCCTAGCTCACAGCAACCTCAAACTCCTGGACTCAAGTGATCCTCCTGCCCCAGCCTCCTGAGTAGCTGGGACTGCAGGTGTGTGCCACCACACCTGGCTAATTTTTTCTATTTTTAGTAAAGACAGGGTCTCGATATTGCTCAAGATGGTCTCACACTCCTGACCTCAAGTGATTCTCCAGCCTCAGCCCCTCAAAGTGCTAGGATTATAGGTGTGAGCCACTGTGCCCAGCCTAATTTAAATATTTTTGACTCTGAAATTTTTCTTTTGTTTAACTTTATGGTCATATTCCTAGGAATTTTATGGGAAAATAATCACAATATAGAGAATAGACTAGATTTTTATGTGACTTTATTTTTAGCCTCAAAGTATTTAAACTGTTCTTCCACATCAAACTTTTTTTTATACCTCCCCTAGTGAAGGGTTAGACTTTATTTGAAGATGTTTTTTCCCCCAGGTAGCTTTATTACTTCAGGCATTTAGGTAATGTTATAACTGTTGGTTCTTCACAAGACAAAGGACGTTTTTATTTTTGTCAGTGCTTCACTCTTTCAGAAGTTGGAAATATTGACAAAATATTTGGTCATAGTGTCTTTTTCCCCACCCCTGAGGCTTTCATATGCTTTTACTTATAAAGGAGAGCACAGATGGAGTAAGGTCAACATGGATAGAATCTCTGAGTTTATATTCCAAACACATACTTTATTTTTCATCTCAAATTTCTCAACTATTCACCTGAATTAAGAAGAATTAATTTTTTTTCTGATAGTCCATTTCAGTGTAACATAATAATTTCAGGGTCTTCCCCATATCTGATAATTTTACTTACTGATACTTGAGGATGTTTTAATTAGAAATAACTCACTCTCCATTGTTTTGAATTTGAATTTTTTATTTTTTTATTTTTTTGGAGACACGGTCTTCCTGTGTTGCCCAGGCTGTACTTGATATGCTGGGCTCACACAGATCTCCTGTCTCAGCCTCCTGAGTAGCTGGGACTGCAAGCGTGCACTATGGCGCCTGGTTTCACTCTCGATTTTAACCAAAGCCTCATTTTATTTCAGATAATAAAATTTATAACCACATAATGATTAAGAGCGATTGGCCCGATACTCAAACTTCAATTACCCAGGTGTCCAGACCATATTTCACCTTGTCCCTTAGCAATGAGCAAATGCCTTGGGCTTAAGGAAGAATCATTTTTTAGATGTTCTAAGAAAAGCTTTGTGTCTCTTTCTTCCTTAACAGTAAAACCAATACAATATGCAAGAAATGTGCTCAGAATGTGCAGTTGTATGGAACGGTAAGTAGGATTTCTCTGAACCTAACAGTGAGTACTTGGGTCTCTCGGAACCTTACCTTCTGTGGACTGTTAATGTCAATACAATATTTTTATTAGAACAAATAGTTATGTATAATATGTCTAGTACTGTACTTCAGCTTTCAAATTTAGCTAATACTTATCATTAAGGAGTTCTCTGTTTATAGTCACTCTGCCAGGATTAAGATTGTAATTTTCCTTGAGAGGCTTCAGTGACCAATATGGAATGAGAGGGGAAAGATGAATTAGATGAATTCTATGATTTGACCTCTTGGTTTGGTAACAGTTGATTATTCTTTTTTTTTTTTTTTTTTTTTTTTTTTTACAGTGAGTGCTGTGGCATCAGCCTAGCTCACAGCAACCTCACACCCCTGGGCTCAAGCAATCCTCTGCCTCAGCCTCCCGAGTAGCTGGGACTACAGGCATGTGCCACCATGCCTGGCTAATTTTTTTTTTTCTATATATTTTTAGCTGTCCGATTAATTTCTTTCTATTTTTAGTAGAGACAGGGTCTCGCTCTTGCTCAGGCTGGTCTCGAACTCCTGAGCTCAAACAATCCGCCCACCTTGGCCTCCCAGAGAGCTAGGATTACAGGCGTGAGCCACTGCGCCTGGCCTGATTATTGATTTTGATGAATGGTTTTTTTTTTTTTCCTCTTAGTCTGAGGATTGAGGGTGCTATGTTCCTGCAGGCATTCTCCCAGCATGTTTATACACTGATAATGGCAATGACACCTTTTCAGAAATTTGAAGCACCTGCTCGTTTCCCCAAAGAGCTGGTTCTATTGGATTTCTCATAGAAGTCTTAGCATACACTCTAATGGGTTTTTTGTTATTTGTTCTTTTATTTATTTTAAAATCAATAGTTCTTTGTAGAAAAATGATTTATGTAGTGTTAAGAATTGGGTTTCATTTGATCAATATAAAAGCAAATTTGTGAAGTTAGGAATACATTTTTACCATGATTAATGGACTAGGATTATTGCTTTAAAAAAATGCACTGGTATTTTATGATAGTAATACTTACTTGACACTTTTTTTCTCCCTCTTTTAGCCCAAACCTTGTCAGTATTGCAACATAATTGCGGCATTTATTGGCAATAAATGCCAGCGCTGCACAAATTCAGAGAAGAAGTATGGACCACCCTATTCTTGTGAACAGTGCAAGCAGCAGTGTGCATTTGACAGGAAAGACGATAGAAAGAAGGTAAATCTCTGTGTTTTTCGTGACTTTTTTTTTCCTTTCAGAGAAATTAAGGTGGCCCAATTCTGTTAAAAAGACATATAATAAAGAAAGATTTGGCCAGGCGTGGTGGCTCACACCTGTAATCCTAGCACTCTGGGAGGCTGAGGCAGGCGGATTGTTTGAGCTCAGGAGTTTGAGACCAGCCTAAGCAAGAGCAAGACCCCGTCTCTACTAAAAATAGAAAGAAATTAGATAGACAACTAAAAATATATAGAAAAAATTAGCCGGGCATGGTGGCGCATGCCTATAGTCCCAGCCGCTTGGGAGGCTGAGGCAGGAGGATCGCTTGAGCCCAGGAGTTTGAGGTTGCTGTGAGCTAGACTGACGCCACGGCACTCTACTCAGGGCAGTAGAGTGAGACTCTGTCTCAAAAAAAAAAAAAAAAAAAAAAGATTTGCCAGTTTCTTTCCTGGTTCTGTTATTAACCTGAAAGAAGGTATTCAGATTTTGTTTTCTTCATTCATCTAATGTGGATCATTATATTCTAACATTTCGTGAGAATCTGAATTATAGTGATTACTTCACATAAGTGAAATGGTGATTGGCAGAATTCTATAGAACTCTGTAAAGAAGAGATTGTGACTTAAGCACGATGGAGTGGTATTACCAATTTTACTATCTGGCTCTTTGAATGTTTCTGTCTGTTGAAGTTAAAAATCACAAGAAGATGACATTAGAGGGAGGCTCTGTGTGGAAGGGTGGTGCCTTGGTCATTTTACTCTCCTGCTTAAAATCTTCCAGTGGTTTCCAGTTGCCCTTAGAATAAAACCCAAATCCTTTCCATGGCCTGCAAGGCCCATATCCAGCTCTCAGTCTCATTTTCTGTCACATTTCCCTCCTCTCACCTTATTCCAGACATCCTGGCCACCTATTAGTCCATCAGACGTGTCAGTCTCATTCCCATCTTTGTGCTGGCTGTCCTTTTGCCTGATGCACCCTTCTGCGGAGTATCATAACTCATTCCTCATGTCAGGTCTCAGCTCAGATACCGCCTGCTCACAGAGACCTTCTTTTACTAACTCCCTCAGTTACTCTTTTATCATATCACTCTGTTTTATTGTTTTCATAGCATGTGACGTCATGAAAAATTGTCTTGTTTATTTGCTTACATGTTTGTCCACCCCCCTACTAGAATGTGATCTCTTTGTCCATCTTGTTCTCTGCTATATTTTTGGTGGCCTGGCAATGGTAGGTGTTCAGTAACTATTTATTGAATCAAAGAATGTAATTCAGAAACTCTTTTTTGGTGGCCAGAGGTGTTTTTGAGAATGGCTGACTCTTGCTAACCAAATTCATTAATTTATAATGGAAAGATATAACTTTCCAGTGACCACAATACTCCTGCCTGCCAACCAGGGTACCTCTTCCCTAAATCAAGATACTGGAAAAGCTGAATTAGTAATCAGGAGGTAGCACAAGCTTTGTAGTTCCCCAAACCTGGGTCCCTTCCCACTCTTGGGGCTAGCTGAATGATCCTGGACAAGTTACTTATCCTCATCATACATAGATTTCTTCATCTTTCCCAATGGGAATACCACTAGTTATTTTACAGGGACATGGGGAAATTTAATTGAGATATGTATATATAAAATACTCAATATTGAGCCTAGCACATAATATATTAATAACTTAATAAATGGTACCTATATTATTATTAATTGGAATAGCTAATTTTTATTAATCTGGTTATACTAGAATTCATTACATTTCTATTTTATTAGTGACAATCTTGTTTTAAGGGTTTGGATATTTTTAGATATCCACAATCACATGTTCATAAACTTTTTTTTTTTTTTTTTTGAGACAGAGTCTCACTGTGTTGCCCCGGCTAGAGTGCCATGGCATCAGCCTAGCTCACAGCAACCTCACACTCCTGGGCTCAAGCGATCCTTCTGCCTCAGCCTCCCGAGTAGCTGGGACTACAGGCATGCGCCACCATGCCTGGCTAATTTTTTCTATATATATTTTTAGTTGTCCAATTAATTTCTTTGTATTTTTGGTAGAGACGGGGTCTCGCTCTTGCTCAGGCTGGTTTCGAACTCCTGAGCTCAAACAATCCACCCGCCTCGGCCTCCCAGAGAGCTAGGATTACAGGCGTGAGCCACCGCCCCCGGCCCCATGTTCATAAACTTTAAGAGAGGAGAGCTAAATTTAGGGATTTAGAGTGGGTAATTTAGGCTCAGAATATGTGGATTGAAATCTTGGTTCTGTCACTTATTAACTATGTGACTTTGGACATGTTAATCTGTCAGTGCCTCAGTTTCCTCATCTGTAAATGGGGATGATGAGCCCTCATGGTTGTTACAAAGGTCTAGTTATTATGTGTAAAGCCCTTACAGTGGAATCTGTTACATGATAAGTATTCAGTCTGTTATCTATGATTGGTTTTGATAGTTTAATTCTCAGAGGATTATCTTTTATTTTTAAAGTTTGTTTTTAAAGGAGAACTCCTGGCCTCAAGTGATCCTCCCACCTTGGCCTCCCAAAGTGCTGGGATTATAGGCGTGGGCCACCATGCTCACCCAAGAGGAATTACCATTTGAGTTGAAACTAGCAAGGTGAGAAGGTAGCAGCCATGGGAAGCTCTGGAGGGCAAAATTCCAGGGAGAGGAACCAGCTGTGAAAAAAACCCTAAGGCAGAAATGAGCCTGGCACATGGGAAGAACAGAAAGAAGGCAGAGTGAAGAAGGGGAAGAGAAAGGAAAGAAGGTTATAGAGGCAGGTAGGGGCTATAGTTAAGTAAACATAGGCCATGGTACAAAGTTTGGATTTTATACTAGATGTGATGAGAAACCACTGGGTTTGAGAGAGGATATGATGAGATTTACGATTAAGAAGCCCTCTGGTGGTTATGTGGAAATGGCTTATTGGAAGTAGGATAATCATTTGGGTTGGGGAGCAAAGAAGATTTTGCTGATAAGATAAACACTTAAGATAAATGATGATGTAGACTACCCATGTTCAAGATGGGGCATGAGATATAATTTCAGAAATAAGAAAGCTATAAAATTCCATAAAGTATCAGCATACTCCCTTCCCAACCTGAGTAATTCACCAGCCCTGCCTGCCTCGCACCTGTCCCAGACTTCCTTATAATGGTTTGCAGTCTGAATGCTGCACAAAGGCATCCCAGTTTCAGAGGATGGTGGAAGCCACATTATACTTTCCTAGCTGTGTGCCCTGCTGCCTGGTACAGAGGAACTTCTGCTGAAAGGAATCGACTTTTTCTAATTCGAACAGTGCCGTGGTTCACCAGGGACTAGGTACCTGGAAGCTACTCATCCATGGTCTTTCTTTCCATCTGAGAGAAGGTTCTCACCATTTTGTGAGCCATTTTTAAGGTATTAAAACTAAAGTATGAGGGGGGATGGGTTTGGGCAGATGTTAGCCAAAGGATTTCAGTTACATAGAAGGAAAACGTTCAGGAGATCTATTGTACAACAAGATGACTATAGTTCATAACAGTGTATTTTTTTTTTTTTGAGACAGAGTCTTGCTCTGTTGCCTGGGCTAGAGTGAATGCCGTGGCGTCAGCCTAGCTCACAGCAACCTCAAACTCCGGGGCTCAAGCGATCCTCCTGTCTCAGTCTCCCGGGTAGCTGGGACTACAGGCATGCGCCACCATGCCCGACTAATTTTTTCTATATATTTTTAGTTGTCCAATTAGTTTCTTTCTATTTTTGGTAGAGACGGGGTCTCGCTCTTGCTCAGGCTGGTCTCGAACTCCTGAGCTCAAACAATCCGCCCACCTCGGCCTCCCAGAGTGCTAGGATTACAGGCGTGAGCCACCGTGCCTGGCCCATAACAGTGTATTTTTGAAAATTGCTAAGAGAGTAGATTTTAAGTGTTCTCATCACAAAAATGATGTGAGGTAATATATTACTAATTAGCTCAATTTAGCCATTCCATAGTGTATCCAAATTTTGAAACAACATGTTTTGTACAGTAAATATATAACAATTTTGTCAATTAAAAAAAATGTGGATGGCCAGGCGCGGTGGCTCATGCCTGTAATCCTAGCACTCTGGGAGGCCGAGGTGGGTGGATCATTTGCGCTCAGGAGTTCAAGACCAGCCTGAGCAAGAGCAAGAACCCGTCTCTACTAAAAAATAGAAAGAAATTAGCTGGACAACTAAAAATATATAGGAAAAATTAGCCAGGCGTGGTGGCACATGCCTGTAGTCCCAGCTAGTTGGGAGGCTGAGGCAGGAGGATCACTTGAGCCCAGGAGTTTGAAATTGCTGTGAGCTAGACTGACGCCACAGCGCTCTAGCCCAGGCAACAGAGCGAGACTCTGTCTCAAAAAAAAAAAAAAAAACAAAACATGGAGTATAGGTTTTATATTTCATCTCTTCTCCCTGCTGAGTTTTCCTTAATGAGCACCATGGAAATATTTGTGTCTTTTGAAATTCTTGTGAGAACTTTCCTCTGGTCTGTTTGCTAAGTTGAGGAGAAACAAAAAGATATTAATACATAAAATTAGCAACTGATATTTATTAAGCAACACTTATGTGCCTGGCACTATGCTAAGTGCTTTACCTACATTATGTCACTAAGTCCTTTCAACAGCCCTCTGTGACTTGCTCAAGGTCACACAACTTGTAAGTGGCAGAGCTGGGACTGAACCCAGAGGTTCTAGCTCCCGATGACACATTCTCAGCCAGTGCAGAACATTCCCTGTTCTTTATATTTGTCTCCTCATCTTTCAGGTAGACGGGAAATTGCTGTGCTGGCTGTGCACACTTTCATACAAACGGGTCCTGCAGAAGACCAAAGAGCAGAGAAAACACCTGAGCAGCTCTTCTCGTACTGGCCATCAGGAGAAGGAGCAGTACAGTCGCCTGAGTGGTGGTGGCCATTATACCAGGTAACCCCAAGGTGTGAAATAGGACTAGAAGTGCTGGTAGGTCAGATGTAATACTCACAATCAGTCGTGGAACATACTACCTCATGTAAATTTTCCTATTTTCTCTCCAGTTACTAGCCTGTAGGAGGAAGCTCATTTGTTATATTTTATAATTCCTGTACCTTCCAAAGGCTGGAGAGATTTCTGTAATGTGTCAGGATTTCCTGACTTTGTATTTTTTTTTTCCCTGACTGTGTATTGTGTCTGAAAGGTTTGTGGAATTTACTCTACTTTCACATGTAGTATTCTCCTCACAGAATGGGTTATCTCCCTAGAAGATTGGACATTTCACTTTCGGAAGGATATGGTTTTTAAATTCGTATTTGGCCAGGAGGTTAATAGATGTTCTAGGCTTGTCCTGATGGGATATAGTCAAGAAAATGTCCTTTCATTGTTTTCAGTTTCCTTTCAGAGTCTTTGTAGTATTGTTAAGAGTTCTGGCTCTGGATGGAATCCTGGCTCTGCCAAGTTCCCTGTGGGGCTCTTGGGCAAGTTTTCTCATCATAAAATGAGGGAAGTAATAGTGTTACCTCATGGGGTTGTTGTGAAGATAAAGTATGTAACGCATACATAGTGATTAGCTTTGTAACTGGCATACAGGAAATATTCAATACATTTTAGTTATTTTTTGTTATTATTACTATTATGACTGTTTATTCAGCAAATGTTATTAAGAAATCTCATGGGCCAGGGACTCTTCCAGGACTGCAGAAATGAATAAAAGAGTCATACTGCTCTCTAAAAATATGCAATCTGGTAGGGAAGACAGACTTGTAATCAAATCATTTCAATGTAATGTGATGGCTACCACAGTGGAAACATGTCAAGATACAGGCATGAGATGGAGTAGGAATTAACTGCCTTGAGATGTAAGGGAAGCAGGCTTAGAGAGGAGCTGGCATTGAAGTTGAATCTTAGCATGAGTTGGAATCATCACCTAAGGAATGGGCAGAGGCATCCTAGGCTGAGAGAGTAGCATTTGGGAAGGCAGGAGACCGCATGGAACCCTGGAGAGTTGTGAGTTCTTTTATATTGCTGGAGTTTATGGTTAGGAGCTGGGGAATGAGAGGAGAAGCAGTTCTGCAGACCTGGGAACGAGCGTGAACTTGATCACAGGGTTAGTGGGAAGCCACTGAAGAGATACAGGCAGGGGAGGGACTAAATCTGCATTAAAAATTAACCCTCACCAGGGCTGGGCACAGTGGCGGGTGCCTGTAATCCCAGCTCTTAGGGAGGCTGAGACAAGAGAATCGCTTGAGGTCAGGAGTTCAAGACCAGCCTGGGAAACATAGTAAGACTCTGTCTCTACAAAAAAATTTAAAAATTAGCCAGGTGTGGTTGTGCCCTCCTGTAGTGCCAACCACGCAGGAGGCTGAGGCAGGAGGATCACTTGAGCCCAGGAGTTCATGGTTACAGTGAGCTGAGATTGTGCCCCTGCACTCCAGCCTGGGCAACAGAGCAAGACTCTGTCTCTTAGAAAAAAAAAAAAACAAAAAAAACACAAAAACCAAAAACCTCATCTCCTCACTTGATGGAAAAAGCAGATATTCAGGAGGATGCTTTGAAGGGAGGATTATGAGAAATTTAGATAATCTGATGAACAGATACATGGCAGGAGCTGAGTGAGTAAAGGACAATTCCCAAGTTTCTTACTTGGGTGAGCAGGTGGATCCTTAACTGGGAGAGAATATAGGAAGGGGAGAAGAGAATTTCAGTTTTGATAAGTTGAGTTTGAAGCACCAAGACGAATTACTTAGAGGAGCTTAGCTTAGTACTCAGAAGAAAGGTCTGGATGTGGGCTGTTGGTAGCACATAAGAATCACTGGGAGTAGGGATTATTTAAAATGCAGATTCCTTTTTTTATGGACACTTCTAATACCATAAAAAAAATGCAGATTCCTGCTGCCCCACCAAGAGTTTAATTCAGTAGGACTAGGGTAGAATCTAAGAATCTACATTGTTTTATAAACATCCTAGATGATTCTAATGCCAGTGTTCTGGGGAGGACCATTTCCAACCACTATGATAGGTAGTTGTTAAAACCTTGCTGTTGGATTAGAGGTGGAGAACAGAACTCTAGAAGCATTTAATATTTAAGGATAGAGAACTAAGAAGCAGCTGTGTCAAAAGTCAGAGGATGACCAAGTGAGGAAAAGTTTCAAGAAGGATGGAGTGGTCAGTGGTATCAAATACTGAAGAGAGATCATATAAAAAAAGGTCTGAAGAATCCTTTGGACTTTGCAGTTGGACATCCATCAAAGTAAAAGGATTGTGTAGCAGGTACAGGCTTCCAGCTTTTGTTTTAGGACCAGTTTTGGTGAACTCATTAGGGTTAAAAGTGGTTTTTAGTGTTGTTATGGGACTCAGATACCAGTAGGTTCACAGAGATACAGTGAAGAAGAACTAGACTAGAAGTACAAATATGTTGACCTGGTTTCTAGTTCCAGCTTTACTACTAACCAGCTGTATATCCTTTAGTAGATAAGTTAACTTTGATGAGCTGTTTCTGCAAAGTAGAGATAATAATTTATCTATTCCTCACTGAATTATAAGATGCATGTGAGACAATGTAAAAGTACTTTCTAACTGTAAGACAGATTATACTTTTTATTGAAGTTTTATTGATTCTGTTCTCATGGTTATTAGTAAAGGAGGTAATATTTAATCAAGGCCAAATTTCCTGTGGAAACTATATAGCTACCCATGCATCCAGGACCTACAAAATCAACACCTTTGGTAGATTTTAATAATCAAGAATAATTAGCTCTTGCATAGAAGAGCTACTGTCTTACATGGTCCATTTGACAGACTTTCATTGTGATATTTTATTAATCTTTGCTTTCTAATGTGTGTGTGTCTATTTTTGCCATTAAAAGCCAGAAAACACTTTCTACATCTTCAATTCAAAATGAAATCCCAAAGAAAAAGTCCAAGTTTGAGTCCATCACAACTAATGGAGACAGGTGAGCCAGTTGGATTATGTGTGCACATACATTTGAAATGCATACACAGTTCCTGAAACAGAAATACATATTAGAGTGTGCCTTGGAGCTAGTCTACGGCTGTCAGTAAACCTTTCAGGGGTGCTACACTAGCCACTTCATAGCTTATAAATAAACAATATTGATATTTGTTTATAAATCTAATCTTGTCATTAGAAGATAAGAACTCGTAACTGGATTTAATAGCAGTTGAATTCTTTAGTGCATTAAATAACTCCCCCACAATAATTGAAAGAAGTGAAGAGTTGGACACTTTTCTCTGTGGTCTGTGCCCATAGCTTCCTCCAGGCAGGTCAGGAGTTGGTCTTGAGAGGCAGAACAGAGACAAGTTGGGTCAAGACAGTGTTACTAAATTTGTGAGTGATGATCCATGCTTCCTTAGCTTTCAGAAAGCCAGCCCAGTGTAGATGCTGGATCAGGAGAGAATAAGATGCATTTAAATTTTTGTTTCATTTTTGGCCTGTCTAAATGCATATTTTTATTCCTCCCTTTCCTCTCTCCTTCTCAGCAATGCTTCCCCTTACAAGCTGCTTTGTCTTAATGTCCAAAGCATCCCATCTGTGTTGGTCCAGTGGGCTTCTTCCCAACAGTCTTGGGGCCAACCATTCATTTCCCTGTTCTTCTAGGCCCAGGCATTCTGAAGTGAGCCTATCTGACATACTTTTCCCTAAAATTCTTGGAATCATTTCCATTCTGAAAACTCCTCCTGTTCACAGTTCTCCCTCTCAGCCAGTGGTGGATATGGGAGCAGACCAACATACAGGTTTACCAGGAATGAATTTTGTTTATTTAGGGGAATACAAAACATCTGTGAAGTTTACTCTTTCCCACTTCCTTTTTCATTAACTTGATTTCAGACTCTACAAAGTGTTTACAGCTAGTTTCATTGATTTTAAACTTTAATTCAAGAAGCTTAATTTAGGACAAGGTGTCGCACACCTGTAATCCTAGCACTCTGGGAGGCCGAGACAGGAGGATTGCTTGAAGTCAGGAGTTTGAGACCAGCCTGAGGAAAAGCGAGACCCCTGTCTCTACTAAAAATAGAAAAAATTAGCCAGTCAACTAAAAATAGAAACAAAAAATTAGCCGGGTATGGTGGCTCGTGCCTATAGTCCCAGCTACTTGGGAGGCTGAGGCAGGAGGATTGCTTGAGCCCGGGAGTTTGAGGTTGCTGTGAGCTAGGCTGATGCCCCGGCACTCACTCTAGCCTGGGCAACAAAGCGAGACTCTGTCTCACCAAAAAAAAAAAAAAAAAAAAAAGCTTTATTTAGATATTTAGATTACATGGGGGAAGGAACCGTAAAGACCCTCTTTCTGGTCAGCCTTACTGTTGTCTGAGCAGCCAGTCTGGCCATTGTAAAGAAACTAGATGTGGCACAAATTGTCCATCCCCTTAAGGAAAGAAATTATTGAATTGCTTTATAAAGGCCTATGCCAGGATCCTTGGCTTTAGGGTCAGCATTTCTGTTTTGTGCTCCTTTATGATCCAGGCTGTGTTGGAATGGTCTGGAAAAAGCTCATTCATATCCTCTAGTTTAACCAACCAATCCTTAAAGTTTATCTTCTTTTAGCTTATTTTGTTCTTGAGCTACTGCCACTATTCTTGCTGTCTATTGCTATGGATACACCAAGCTAAAAACTCATGTTTTCTGTTCAGATGGTTTTATTGCATCTGGTCACCAGCAGTGACTGTTTTCGTCAAGTAGGATGATCCTTGACTCAGGTACATGGTATTTCATGATGTCCTCCAGGAAAGAGATTAAAAGATCGCTTTTTCCTTAAAATGACATGCTAATTTTTAAGTGTAATTTACTCTTATAATTTGGAAACTTTTTTCTGCTGCCATAAAAATTATTTTCATAAATGTACAAATTCTATTTGAATGTTCCTGCATTAGCAATTTTAACATTCTATTCTACTTGTTTGCATTTCTTTTTTTTTTTTTAGATGTTCATAGCACAAAATAAGTTACATTTTGCTATCCTTTTTACTTTTTGTGTTTTTTCTGCTCTTACTTTACTTTGAAAAAAGCATTCTGACAATCTTTTGTTTTTTGTACAGTCCTTTTCAGATGTCATGCAAGCCAAACGTTTTTTGTACTGCATACCTATTTCAGTTCAATTCTGTACCAAGTGTAATCAGTCTTATTTATGAAATATCTATTGTTGTGGCTGCCTCACAGTTTTAATTAATCACATCCACTTTCTGAATCTACTTTTAAAATATCTATGTACTTTTAAATTTATGCTCTTATTCTTTTATTTTTATTCCCCATGTCTCTGCATGTTGCTCCCTAATACTTTTCCATTGACCTTTCTATACTACCACATTATCCTCTCTTATTTATTTATTTATTTATTTTTGTTTATAAAAAATTTTTTCTTTTTCTGCTAATCTTCTATCATTCCAATTTCAGTATATGTGCTGCTGAAGCGAGTACATCTCTTATTTAATAATATTTGATTACTTTTCCTCCTCTTTTTCTTTGTCTATTAGCCTTCTGTATCATAGACAGAACACATTATCTTAACTGTCTCTAATGGTTTTGTAATTGTAAGATGCCTCAGTTTTTTTTTCATATGTACAAGATTCACAGCCTCTGTCTTGATATTTCCTAATTTGTTGAAATTATAATAAAAACTTTTCAATTTGAGGAAAATATGAGCTAATTTCTAGCTTTCTGTCCTTGAGAAAATGTACCAGCTACTTTTTATTCGTATTTGTTTATTGTTCCATAGACAATAAAAAAGCAATCTCAACAGAGGGTGACACCCAGTCATGCTTCATGGTTCATTGTTTCTAAAGGGCATTCTTTTTTCTTCCTTGTAATTTTATTTTATTCTGCCTTTGAAACGTGACTGAAAGATCAGACTTATTCGAGGACAGACTGGAGACCAACATGTAGGGTCACAGAGAGGCAGGTTTTGGCTCAATCTGAGAAAATTGTTCTTATATTAAGAGGTTTTGTAAGAGACAAGAAATTTCCTGGGAAGTAGTGAGTTCCCCTTCAATGAAGACATTTGGAAAGTGACTGGGTTTTCTGCCTTACTAATCTAGCCATCTTTTTTCATTTCGAGCAGTTCTTAGTGAACCAGGAATTAGAGAGTTAGAGAGGTCAGGCCCTAAGACAGGATAGACTAGACTGGTTTGTCAACAATTTATTGATATGGGAGGAATCCTCTCAAAAAGCAGGTAGAGCAGAACATTAGGAGCTTTAGGGATGACAAAAAGTTATTTATACTAGTTCATTACTCCATTTCATTCATTGCTCTAGTTATGGGTTTACATAGACTGTTAAGTTGAGGGAAGACAGGTCCTTGGCAGGTTTTGAAGCAGATATAAGGGCACTTCCAGATCTGGAATTGGTGGAGACTGTGATAGTCTTTTCAATACTTTCTCCTGCATGCCTTGTTTTATTATTTTGCGTTTACTTTTTGTTATCCTGTAATTCTGCACGTTCATCAGTTATGGAAGCGTTGATTCATTCTTCCTCTGCCATTCTTCTCGTATGTTTCATGTAGACTGAGGTGGGGGGTGGAATATTCTTATCAATGGATGATGTCTTCCAATTCTAGCCATAGACATGTTTGACTTGGTAACTCTGAGGAAGTATGACCAGTGATGAGGCTTGCTATTTGGAGTTTCCTCCTGTGTAGAGAAATGCTGGTTATTAGATGTGGCTTAAGATCACAGGAAAGACCCAACAGCAAGGGGGAACTACGAATTGTTGCCATATTGACATAGGCAGTATTCTAACATATGCTTAGGAAAAACAGATTTGTTTTACTAAAAGATTGTCCTGGGAAAAGTAAAGAGCTTCCTTTGGGAATTCTCTAGAGAAGGGCAGGATTTAACCCTTTTGGTTGTGATTCCTTAAGTTGTTTTGTGTCTGAGACACCTTTGACCAGCCATTGAAAGCTTTGGATTCTCACCCTAAAAACTACCAATTGTATGTGTAGACAAGATTGTGCATATAATTTCCTTATTAAGAGACTCTGCTAAAAGAACATAGAATGCTCCAGTGCTGTTGCTGGGAGGAATCTGTTGAAAACCCAAGTCGTGATGTGACTCTGGAGTTTGCCACCTCTTTGTTCCTTTCCTAACTAAGTGTCACAGGATTCTTAATATTGGAAATGACAGCTGGGCACAGTAGCTCACTCCTGTAATCCCAGGATCTTGGGAGGCCAAGGAAGGAGGATTGCTTGAGGGCAGGAGTTTGAGACCAGCCTGGGCAACAGAGCAAGACACCGTCTCTACAAAAATATAGAAAAATTAGCCGGATGTGGTGGCACACACCTGTAGTCCCAGCTACTTGGGAGGCTGAGGCAAGAGAATCATTTGAGCCCAACAGTTTGAGGTTGCATTGAACTATGATGATGCCATTGCACTCTAGCCTGGGCAACAGAGCAAGACCTTGTCTCAAACAAACAAATAAAAAAGGAAATGACAGTCTTCAGGCTTCTTGATATTAGGGATGGCAATCCACAGGCCAGTTGTAGCCTGGGGGAGCTGGCTTCCTTCCCATTAATTTCATCTTTGTTGATAAGGACTGACTGCTCCTGGGCAGGAAGGCAACAGCTTCTGAGCAGCTGTACCATATCACAGGGCTTTGGAGCAGAAGACAAAGAGCTGAAAGACAAGCTCTATGGGGAGCATTAAAGAAAAATGCATGGGCTTACAGTTTATAATTTATCTGGAATTTAATTATCCAATCACAAAATTATGACCGTTTCACCAGTAAATCATCGGGGATCTTTAATGGACCTGAAACAATATCCTTGGCTCTTGGGATGTGGCATTTATTTCAGTCCTGAACATGAGAGAAGATGCTGAGGGAATGTTGCCGGGTTGTGGTTTTGGTTGGTAGAGATACCTGATGACCACCTCACCTGTGCAGTTCAGCAAATGCTGTCAAGCCTGGCACGTATAGAGCAATGTGCTTAATGCTGGGAATTCAGATAGTTACTCCTGCCCTTGAGGAGCTTGCAGTCAAGTGGCCTAGGATGTATCAGGTAGAGAAAAGTTTATCCATCCAAGTTATGATTTCCCTCCCCCCTCCATTTTTTTATTTAGCTTTTCCCCAGACCTGGCTCTGGACTCACCAGGCACTGACCACTTTGTCATCATTGCCCAGCTGAAGGAAGAAGTGGCTACCCTGAAGAAGATGTTGCATCAAAAGGATCAAATGATTTTAGAGAAAGAGAAAAAGGTATGGTTTAGTTAATGCATGTCAGACCAAAATGATGGAGGGGTAAAATATATGGCATGGGACATGATGTTAACTCTGTTTAACTGATATTTGTTGGGTACTTACCATTGACGCTTTGAGAGATCCCATGGCAAGGCTGGGACATCCTGGGGAGAGGCTAGCTGTCTGCCAGCATGACTCCTGGGATAGCATTACCTTGGTCAGTCCACTCCAGGCAAGTGGATTCAGAAAGCTGATTTTTCTCAGCACTTAGAGGGAGACTCCACTTCTTAGAGAGGACTTTTGTTAACCAAGCTGACAGAGCTGATGAATAAAACCGTGGTGTCCACATCTTAATTCACAGTGGGGCATGTGACAGCATACTACTCTTCTCGGGATGAGCTGTCTTAGGAGGTTGTAATCAGAAGGTGCTGAGTGAGCATAGAGTTGGGACAAGAGGAGGTAGTTATGTAATTGGAATGTTTAATGCTGTCAGGCTAAAAGAACCTAATGTCTCCATCTCTGTCATGGGGATGACCATGTCTGTGGGACATTAGTGCTTAAAGTATGTGGGCCAGGTCTTCCTCCTCCCTAGACAGCATTCCAATAGGACCTTTTCCATGACTCTTATATCACTGTGCTTCCATTGTTGACAACTCCCTTAGTAAGTGACCCATTCTTTAAACACATTAATATCTTAGTTAATATGTTCAGTGTTAATATTGTATCTTCACATAGAATATCTTCAATCTTAATATTTCTAATGTCTTAATATCGTCAGAGTAAGACCAGTCTTATTCTGGTCGGAGTCATCCTCTTTAAAGGAACTTTTTACATCCTTGCTCTGATTCATGTCCATTATTTATCTTATTTTCAGGTTCTAGAGAATGTCTCATTTTTGCCTTAATATAATAATAACAGCTAACTTTTATTGGATGCTTACTTTGTGCCTGGCTCAATTCTAAGTGCTTTATGTGTATTAACTCATTTATTGTTTTAACAAGCCTTTGAGGTAAGAATTATTGTCATAATAATTTCATAGATGAAGAATGCCTCCAATATTTTTCCTCTTAGACTTCTAACTCCCTTCTCCTGCTTTTTTTTCCCCTGAGACTGCATGTTGTCTTATGCCAAGTTCAGAATGCTATGATTTGTTCTGAATGGCCAGTTAAGACATTTATAATGTTAAATCATTTATGTGCATTCTTTTCATCTAATTTCTACCTCATTTTACAGATGAGGAAACAGCTCCAAAGAGGTTAAATAATGTGTCCAAATCATAGCTAGTAAATGGCAGAACAAGGGAATGAACCCAAGTCTTTCTGATTCTACTGTTCTTTCTACTGTTAGGTTTTCTCCTGCCAGTAAGATGGAGATTCGTGGGAAGAGACCTGTGTTCTTTCCACTTTACTCCATGACCGTCAGATCAAAATGGACCCAAGTATATTCTCTTCATGGGCTAGATCAGATGGCACATAAAAGGATTTTTGTAAAATAGAGACAAATGAACACTTGATTCTACTGCTTTGCAGAGTTAGGGTTTTTTGTTTTTTGTTTTTTTTTTGAGACAGAGTCTGGCTCTGTTGCCCAGGCTAGAGTGCCGTAGTGTCAGCCTAGCTCACAGCAACCTCAAATTCCTGGGCTCAAGCGATCCTCCTGCCTCAGCCTCCCGAATAGCTGGGACCACAGGCATGTGCCACCATGCCCGGCTAATTTTTTCTATATATATTTTTAGCTGTCCAATTAATTTCTTTCTATTTTTAGTAGAGACGGGGTCTCGCTCTTGCTCAGGCTGATTTTGAACTCTTGAGCTCAAACAATCCGCCCGCCTTGGCCTCCCAGAGAGCTAGGATTACAGGCGTGAGCCACCGCGCCTGGCCAAGGGTTTTTGTTTTTAAAGGAGCAAAATCGGATTGTTTTCCATAGCTTTCAGGATCAAGGTCACACTGCTCAGCTTGGAACACATTCTCTTCCACATCATGCCTGCCTATCTCTATCCTAATCTGCCATTCTCCAGGCTCACTGGCCAGTTGAATAATCCCTCAGTTATCTCTCACTTCTCTGTCTGTGCCCATACTGTTCCCTTTGCTTGGATGCTCTTCTGTTCACCTTTTGTGCCTGTTGCTATTGTACCTTAAAGCTCAGCTCACATATCACCTCTCTAATATATTAGTATTATAGATGCCCCTTCTCTGTTCTCCTTGAATAGCATAGTTACAAAAGGGAACTTCGGGTTTGAAACCTAGCTCTGTCACTTGCTAACACTATGTATGATCTTGGCTATGTTACCTAACCCTTTCTAAACCTCAGTTTTCCCATCTATAAAACAGGAATACTCCCCCACAGGGTTATCATAAAGATTGAATGAAGTAATGTAATCAAACAGTTTTTGTGTAACATGATAAAAGTCCAGTAATTGGCTGCAGCTGTTATTCTCAAGGTTTCTCTTAAACCATCAGTCATTTCATTGTTTTATTTGGAGGTGTTTGGAGGGTTGTTGGCATATGATAAACACATGAAATCTTTTTTTTTTAATAGATGGAATTTATTTTTTTTTCCTTTTTTTAAATTTTATTTTAAATTTTTTTTTTTTGAGATAGTCTCACTCTGTCACCCTGGGTTCCGTGGGTAGAATGCAGTGGAGTCATTGTAGCTCACTGCAACCTCAAACTCCTGGGCTCAAGCGATCTTCCTGCCTCAGCCTCCCGAATAGCTGGGACTACAGGCGTGCACCACTGTGCCCAGCTAATTTTTTTATTTTTAGTCGAGACGAGGTCTCACTCTTGTTCAGGTTGGTCTCGAACTCCTGACCTCAAGTCATCCTCCCACCTCGGCTTCCCAAAGTGCTAGGATTATCATCTACTTAGCATGAGCCACCACACCCAGCCAACACATGAAATCTTAAAAACTTGCTAGTGATGAAGTTTCAGAAGTCTTAGTTCTGCTGGGCAGAGTGGTGCATGCCTGTAATACCAGCTATTTGGGAGGTCTGAGGCAGGAGGATCCCTTGAACCCAAGAATTCGAGATCAGCCTGGGCAACACAGACCCCATTTCAAAAAAAAAAAAATGTCAGTTCAGGATTTTGTGTAATCTTTAGAAAAAAATAGGATATGGAACCCTGGCTTTGATTCAGGTATGGATCTGCAGGAGTGCCCTGGATTTCATTAATTTTGGGGACAATTTAGTTCTCTGATAGCAAAATATTTTTTATTACACAGAAATTTCTTCTGGTCATTCTGCTTTTTTTCCCTTTAGATTACAGAGTTGAAGGCTGATTTTCAGTACCAGGAATCTCAGATGAGAGCCAAAATGAACCAGATGGAGAAAACCCACAAAGAAGTTACAGAACAATTGCAGGTAACTCTAGTGTACCTAACTGATTGTATTTTAAGTAATCATCTCCTAGATTTCTTTTTTCAGAAAGTGTTGACAAATCACATTAATCCTTCTTTTAGATACTTTGTATTGTTTTACTCTTGGGTGCATTCTGATCTTTTATCCTCAAAAACAGTGGAATTAATAAATGTGTTCTTTGGTTTTGAATAAACCAGATGTGATTCCAGATGTCTGAATTATAAATTCTGTTTATCCAGTTCATTAAGGCTCTCCCTGGTTTGTTTGTATTGCATAGAGCATCCTTTTGTAACAGTGGGTCCCAAGAGATTAAGGTACACTGATTAACCTCTAGCAGATGCTTTCTTTTCCCTGAACAAAGTGTCAAGCCCTAGAGCTTTCTGTTATTTTCCACTTCTAGAATTGTTCATCTCTTTCTGATCCTCTACATTGTCTGCCTTAGCATATGCACTTACTCTGCGTAAAAAACATATCCTATCATGTCTAAAACATCCTTCTTACGCTGATTTTTTTAGGCCAAAAACCGAGAGCTCCTGAAGCAGGCAGCTGCCTTGTCCAAGAGCAAGAAGTCTGAGAAGTCAGGAGCTATCACCTCTCCATGACAGACCATGAGAAGGCTTGCTACCAATAGCAAATGGAGTTGTCCTGGATTAGGGTTGGCGACCTGGCTGTTCTCTGGGAATTGCAAGCTTTCTTAAGAAATCTCTATTTTATTACAGTTATCCTTCTTTGTGTGATTGCAGTGGACTGAATGGAAACACCTGGTTTGTGCTGTGTTATGACTGCATGCTTGAGTGTTTGGAGTTTCAAGCTCTCTTTCTCTTTCTCTAACTTCTAGAACCTCTACTCTTCTTCCTTTTCTCTTCCCTTCTCTCTCTCTCTCTCTCTCTCTCTCTCTCTCTCTCTCTGTTTTGGTACTACTCTTTTTTCTTTGTGGTAGTCACTGCTCAGTGTAATGTGCAGAATGATTTTTTTTTTTTGGTTCATCATTGCATCCTGCCATACCCATGAGCAAATCGTTTGGCATTAATTATATATCACTGCCACCTTCTGAACTTTGAAAACTGCCACCTTAAGACTTGGTACAATGGAAGAGGCTTTCTCTCTCCAGTAAACCTTTTCCTTCAGGGTATCTCTTGGGTTTTTTTCCAGATATATTATGTATGAACTTTGTACTATGTATAGCCAGAGTTTTATTTATTTTTTAAAAAAAGAAACTTTTTCTTGATAAAGGAATAATGGTAGCCTAGCCAGTCCTTCTTGTAAAAGTGATGCCTCTTGAAAAAAATAGTCCTATTCTCTAGCTTTTAGTAAAAGAATAAGATCTTTTCTTTCTTGTTACCTTGGAGTCTTAAAAACTGATTGCTAAGGTGAAACAATTCAATGCATAAGTATGGAGTTAAGTGCCTTTTGGAGGATTTCTTGGAAGAATATTTAACGAGATACTTAAGGGAGATAGCAAAGATTTGAACAGTCTGTCTTTTTAAGTAAGGGCAGAAAGAAAGGTTGTCCAGGTTGTACTGGACACTTCCCTCCCCCACCCCTTTCCTGATTGTTTTATGTGATTGATTTTAAATTCTCACACTGCCACTTCTTTTTTAAAAAATATCCTTTATTTGCTTATATCAGTTGTCATACTGGGCTACTGTCAGAGAACATTTTTTTACATGAGCAGATTAAAAATGGGATAATATTTGAACCATAGAACATTTCTGGGGTCAGCATGAGCTGCTCAAGTAAAGACTCTGAGTCCAATTGGGAGAAGTGACATCACCATACTTCTCCCCACTCCTCCTCACCCACCCCAGCCTGTACACTCCTGCTTTGAATGGAAAGGTGGAAACAGGTACTTCTTAGAAGCATGTGGCCTCAGCTGGAGTCGTGTGTGCCCTGTCTTTCCTTCTTGACCCAATAGGCACATGGATTTACTTTTCCAGCAAAGGGGATAGATTTGCATTTCTACCCATACTCTCAGGTCCTCCATGTGGTGTTTGTGAAAGGAATTAGGGATGTGGAGTTGTGCCATGAAACAGCAAAACTGACTATCCTGGAATCATTAATGCAGGGTGTACTAGAGTTAGAAATAATCATGAGGGCAGATGACATTTGTACCTCAGTCTACAGATGAGGTACCTCAGAAGCAGATGCTCTATAATTTGTGATAGCATTCTCAATAAGTGGAGCCATGCACGTAATTGGACTGAAATGTGGAAATGGGTAGCTTCCTTCTGATAAGATATACAATGGACCATGTTGCATACATATCACCCTAGTAGGGGATGTAATTCCCTTCTAAGCAAGGGAAAGGGCAGTGCTAAATAGTTTTATAACTTTTTGAATGAGAAACTTTTAGGTAAAGATAAACTGTCAGATAGTATTTTTGAGATGCATTTGCATTGACTATGGGGAAAAGATTGTCAAAAATGATAGTCATGTTTTTTTTTTTAATTTTAAAGACTGAAATTCTGTTACGTGAAGTATGACAATATAAAAACACATATTTAGTTTTATACTAAATCCTTTTTTAAGGTCTCGGCATTTAATATAAAGCAAATCCACACATTTTCTAACTTTCTGTAAGTTCCAAAAAGGAAAGGAAGAAACTTCAGTCTTGAAATTTTGATTTTTAAAAATCATGACACTGTTTTACCATGAAATTGAGTAGCTAATTTTTGGTAACACTTTTTGTTTCTTTGTATGTTTGTAATAATGGACATTTTAAAACACGGGAATGTTTTAGTTTGTACAGACTTTCACAAATGTGTGTTAATAAAAATTCATACTGACTCAAGTATAATTGTTAGGTTTTGTTTTTATTTATTTCTTGCTGGTTCACCAATAGACACATCTCATTATCCCCTTTAACCTAGAAAACACTTTGTCTTGCTTGTAGACTTAAAAAATTAAAAGCCTAACTGTGCTAATCAGGAATTTCATGTCCATCAGAGTAAACTCATTCTCAGTCTCTTGAAAGGTGAGACTGCTGTGTTGTGCTATGAAGTCAAACTGCGTAGATTTGAATCCTGTCTGTACTTAACTCAGAGTTGTTGTGAGGATTAAATACATTTAGAAGCCTTTAGAACAGTGCTTGGCACGTAGTATGCACTCAATTTTGTAAGCTGTTATCATCTATGACTGCTACAGAGTCAACATTTTCAGTTTCCTCAGAGGGAAGATGATAGAGGGACCAATTAGAATGAACATGTATGTTCACTTGTTTTCTTTCCTTCCAAAGTCACTTTCTCCCAAGGTCAGTTCTAGGCCACCAGAACATTGATGCAGCCCACAACTTTTATACCTCTTTTTCAACTCTATATGATCCACCTCACCTGATGCATGCCACTTTATTGCACTGATTTCTAGAATGCCTTTTTTTTTTTTTTTTAGGGATAGGGTCCCGCTATGTTGCCCAGGCTGATCTTGAACTCCTGGCCTCAAGTAATCCTCCTGTCTCGGCCTCTCAGAATGCTAGGATTACAGGTATGAGCCACTGCACCCAGCCTGAGTTTTTGATTATCACAAACAAAGCTGCCTTAAACATTTGATAGACACGTTTTCATTCTTCTTGGGTAAATACCTCAGAGTGGGCTTGCTGGATTGGTGGGTTGTATAGTAAATTTATAGTTAACTTTGTAAGAGACTGTCAAACTGTTTTCCAAAGTGATTATACCATTTTTCATTCCCACCAGCAATATATGATGAGTGCTAATATTAATACAGTCTTATTTGCAACCTAAGTGAATTTCTCCATTGACCCTTCCCTACTATTCCCTAGGTAGCTCACCATACTGGTGATAATGATAATTTTAAAATATGAAATTTATTTACTGAAGTATAGCATATGTACAGAAGAGGGCACATCACAAGTATATGACTTGATAAATTTTCATAAAGTAAACACACCTATATAACTACCATCCAGATCAAGAAATACAATCCTAGCAGCTCACCTCATGCGTCCATTCCTATTCCCTTTCTTCCTCCAAACTATTAATACATACTATTCTGACTTTTAATAACGTGATTAATTTTGCCAGCTTCAAACTTATTAAAACTGGAATGATGCAGATCGTACTCATTTTGTGTCTGGCCTCTTTGGCTACACATGTTTGGAAGAGGTTACCTGTGTTCACATAGCTGTAGGCCACAATTTATTCTTGTGCTCTGTAATACCACAGTTTATCCATCCTACTGTTGATAGACATTCGGGTTGTTTCCAGTTCGAAACTAGTAAAAATAAATGCTGCTATGGACTTCATAATAGCCCCAAACTGGAAACAATCCAAACATCCATCAATAAGAGAAAGGACAATCAAATTGTAAGTATATTCATATGAGGAAATACTATTCAGCAATAAAGAAGACCAAACTACTGGTACATGGAACTTCATGGATAAATCTCAGAAACACTATGTTGATTGAAACAAGCTAAACACTAAAGAATACATAAAGTATGAAATCCAAGCACAGGTAAAACTTAATCTATGGTGGTAAAAATCAGAAGGTGATTTCCGGTGATGAGGGAAATTGGAAAGGAGAATATATGGCTGACGCAGTGGCTCATGCCTGTAACCCCAGCACTTTGGAAGGCTGAGGCAGGAGGATCGCTTGAGTCTAGGAGTTCGACACCAGCCTGGGCAATATAGTGAGACCCCGTCTCTACAAAAAAAATTAGGCAGGTGTGATGGTGTGTGCCAGTAGTCCCAGCTACTCAGGAGGCTGAGGCAGGAGGATTGCTTGAGCCTGAGAGTGTTTGAGGTTGCAGGAAGCTGTGATAGAATCACTGCACTCCAGTCTGGGTAACAGAGTGAGACCCTGTCTCAAAAAAAAAAACAACAACAAAAGGAGCATAAGTCACGGAATTTTCTGGGGTGAAAATGAAAATGTTCAAATCTTGGACATTGTATACACCGGTGTATACAAGTGTCAAAATTCAGTGAACTGAACACTTAATATCTGTGCATTCTATTGTATATCAATTATAACTCAATAAAAATTAAGTACAGAAAAATGCTGCTTGGTCCTAAAAATGCTGCTATAAACTATGCCTGGCTTTTGCAACATACGTGTTTGCATATCTGTTGAGTATATAGTTAGGAGTAGAATTGCTGGTTTATAAGGTATATACGAAGCCTGGCTCTTCCACTTAACAGTTGTATGACATTGGGCAAGTACCCAGAATGTCTATAGTTTGCTTATTTGTACCAGGGAGCTAATCTCACCTTGCTGGGTGCAAACCCATGAAGACAATTTTCGTTAATCAACAAAAGGACACAGTGCTGAGAAACCTGTTCTCTAAAGTCACAGATTTTCAGAAAATTTGCTGTTTGAATTATTCCATTAAGAATGGAAAATACCACTCTTACCTGGATGATTTGAGTTACTTTGACACAGAGGAACAGACTCAATTTCTAACCCAGGTGCAAAGCTTTAGATAACAGGTTTCCACATACAACACTCCACATTTATCATCGCATTGTAGTTTCCAAGGAAACAGGATCCTGAGTCATCTTGCTAGCTTAGGCCTGATGATAATCCCTTTACCCAGAGATGCTTTGAGGCTATCTCAACGCTGCTTCTTTTAAATTTTACACTTCGTCTTTCCTCCAAATCCTGCAATAACTCTCTTCCCGTGTTTGGTGACATACCCCATGATTCCTTTGGTGTGCAGTTCCCTTGTAGCAGCAAGGTATTATAATACACTGAACTTTTTCAGATCACAGGTGGTCTTTATAAGATGGTCTTTATCTTGGAGATTACTGATAATGTATGCAAAATATGTTCACATTGCTTGGCACCTAATAGGCATTTAAAAAGGATAAAATTATTATTTTTATCATTCATGTATTAATTCAATAAATGTTTACTTGAAATCTTGTATTTGCAAGGTACAAATTTACTCCTATGAGAGATGAACAGGTGGAAAATCACTCTTATTTTACATGGAGAAAGAAAACAGCAACTATATCTTCAATTCCTAGTAGAAAAATACCTTTACTAAGCTTCACTTTAAATAGTGTCAAATGCAAATGAAAAAATTCTCAAGACTATTTCATAAAAAGTGCAATTTACATGATTTGCTATAAGATTTGGCATAAAACTATGGATTCTAAGAAATGGTAGGGTTTTAATAACCAAAATGAGAGCCCCTCAAATGTCATCTGTCCCTTTTTAGAGAGTAAAAAATGCTCTCATAAATGTTCCATTGAAAAATAGAGATAGCCTTGCTTTAGAAAGCTCTAAGGCTCAATACAGGCTCATTCACACATTTGAGGTCTCCTCCCACACAGGCAAGTAGCTTCCTCTCTTTGTATTTCCAAAACACTGCAAAGCAGGCTGGGGTAGGGTGGGGTGGAGAATACAGAAAACACTGCCAGTTCCCCTTCATTTCTCACCATCTTGATCTCCTCCCAAACCAAAATCCTATCCATGTCTTTCCTTTTACCAAAGTCTTAAAAAATGCAGTCTTCTATGGGAACATTGAGGTCATACATTCCAAATTACTTAAGGGAATGATTTTTAAATTTTGGGAGTCTATTTCTCCAAGAAATCTCAGTTTGGGATATAGATGAACAGGCCATTTGGGAGAGATTTAGATGGAGAATGCATTTCAGAGAAGCAGT